TTTCCTTCCTCCACCTTCCCCGTCCTTCACCTCTGTTTCTTTTGTGTATACATTCCTTTTCCCTTAGGCAAGTTCTTCTCACATCACCTTTAGCAGTCAGCCCAGAGGCCACCTCCTCCAGGAAGCCCTCCCCACCATTCCAATCCCTCAGCTGTAGAAAGCTGCCTAGCCAAAGGTCATGCCTTGCTCTGCCATAGCCCACAGCCGGGGATATACCCAGGGGGTATATGCAGGGGGGTGTAATGGCCCAGCCATCCCTGGCACACCTGTGAAGGGTCCTCCAAGCTCCAGGGCTTCCGAGGCTGTTGCATTGGAACAGCTCAACCTCTCTCTCCTTCCAGGAGGGTGGATCCCAAAGGCACCTTTTTACTGAAGGTCACTTCAGTCTGCTTCCCAGGAAATAGGACCTGTGGCCTCTCCCAGTGGGACTTCTCAGTCTGTTGTAGCTACAGCCACAGACACAGATAGTCTCAACAGGACCATTTTCTCCATGTCCAGGGTGCTGGACACTCTGCAGACTTGGGATCATCACTTCGTTTCCCATGAAGATGCTCGGAGTTGAGGAACCTCCTCTCACAACCACCCTTTTCCTTGCTCCATAAAATGGGGAGAAGGGGCCCACCTGAGGGTTCCCAGCAGCTGAGAGGCACAGCCAGGGTCTGGCACCAAGCCTCTGTCCTCAGGCGAGCCAGGAAGTCAAGAGCTGTGATTGCCTATCCCCACCTCATCTCTGCACCTCTCACAGGTAACTGAGCCGGGAATGGACATTACCAGCCCCTTATCAGCTATTACCTAGTTCCTTCAGTGCCTTCAGCTTGTCCATTCTTCAGTTTCCTGGGCTATGGACAGAACTTCTTTCTGAGCTTCTCACTGCAGAGCCCACTCACCACCATCTGTCACCCAAGAACCTGTGCCCATGAACCAGCACATACCCTTTACAGAGGGGACCACAGATCCCTAGAGAGTGGTATGGCTTATTCTCATCTCAAAGCATTGGAACGGGCAAACTGCATCTCAAAGACAGGGAGTCGCCTCTACTTGCAGGAGCTTTGGTATCTAGGAGAAGGGAGACCTGGTTCTGGGGCCTGAGCCTGCCCGAGGGTCCCCGGGCTTTGCCAGTAAGCACTAGGATCAGAACCCTGGAGGCCCAGGGTGGGAAGAGATCAGCACATCCCTAGCACTTGCACTGGGGGCAGCTCCAGGTGGAAGAGGAAGCCAGCCACTGATTAGGGGCGATGATTTGAATCACAAGTCCCTTCCAGGACACGTGAATTTGGGCAAACTCCTTATCCCCATTTTACAGCCGAGAAAACAAGGCTTAGAAGCGAAGCCACTCCAGTCCCTTTTCTAGCATCATGTGGAGGAAGGGCCACTGAGTTGCAGCTTTTGTGAAGTACAGCTTTTCTCAGCAACCCCGTATCCATCTGGAACTCTGAGGTTGAGCAGTTACAGAAAGTGGTGCCTCCTTCTGGCAGCGAGGTGGTCTGCACGGAAAGAGGAGCTGTGACATCTCTATGTCCTAAGGAATCCTTGCTCCGGACATCTAATGATTGCTTTCTGTGTGAACATCTGATTGCCTGGCCTCTGTTTTGGGGATGCTCAGGAAGACCGCCAGTGATCGTTATTGGCAAGGAGAGATACAGGGCTTAGGGCCAGGCACATGCAGGCTTGAACCTTCTTTCCCTTACAAGCCTGTTGACTGTAGGGGTGGGAACTTCCCCTCTGAGCCTTTGTACCACTGTGATTGGAGGTGGAGTGCACTTTGTATCCTGGATCTTCTGCCCAGATACAGTGCATTAGTCATTTTTCCCCATGGGGTGGGAGGTAGACACCTCCACCTGGTTAGTTGGTGTTAACACTCTTGGGTGTAGATTCTCTCCCCCTGCTCACATGGCTGGCAAGTTAGTACTGGTTACCAATTCCTGTCCAGGTGGGCTTCTCAGGAATGCCTGGGCTTCCTCACAACATGGTGTGGTTTCCGAGAACGAGTGTCCCAGAAAGAATGCTAGGTGGAAGCCCTATTGCGCCTTAGGACATGGTCTTGGAAGATCCAGCATCGTTTCTGCCAGATTTTGTCTGTCAAAGCAGACACAAAGCCTGGACAGGTTCCAGGGGTGAGGCTGTAGACCCCGCCTCTTGACTGGGTCTGGCAAAATGGACAAGAAACATTGGTGTGATTGTTTTTGGAAAATGCAATCTGCCGTTCTGCTGCCATCCTGGGTTCAGTTCCCATATCAAGCATTTGAGGGACTACCTCTTAGCCTGGCACTTCCTCTTCCTTGCTTGGCTTGGAGCTGAGCACCAGCCTGAAACCACTAGGGAAATGACCGTGAACCATCGGGTGCCCTTCATGGCTCCTTCCCATCCCTCTTCTCACGCTCTGTGCACCTTCAACAAAGCAGATTCTCGGAGATATTAAGACTTGACTAAATACATACACCGTTCAGGGCTCTGGGCTTTTTACAGAGCTACGAAGGGGGCTGTAACTGTTGGATTAGGTGATGAAGGTACCTCTCAAGTTATTCCTGTCCTAGGAGTGCAGATGGAGTTCTAGAAGAGCTACAGATATTCCACAAGGGTTGGGTTAACACGGGGGCATCATCTGATGCATCAGCCAGATTGTCCAGAGGACTCAAGTTCTTGGAAGGGGAGGTGTGAGTAGGAGAATCCCCATGTGGTAGCCTGAGAGGAAGCTGTTTGGATGCCCTGCAAGAGAGAACCCTGCTGTTCAGCTGTAGGCGAGCGCAGAGCTGCAGCACCTTTGGGAGGCTTCACACCATCCCTGCTGTTGCCACAGTCTCCCTGGGAAGAACAGGTGTCCTAGGGCCCGGCCCTTTCTGCCCAGCGTGGCCCGTCTCTAACGGGCATTCTTTGCCCTAGAGCTCCCATTGGGCTCGTCCGGACCTTACTGGATCTGCATCACGACGGCAGGTTCTCCATCTTACACCGGCATCACCCACCCTCCCTCTACACTGCATTTACACCTAACTGCTGGGTCCTCTAGCAGGCAGCCGCTAACAAGCGGATCCACTCCAAAGGGATCAGCAAGGCAGCGGGGGTGGAACACAAGCGATCACAGCGTGTCTATTTCCACACAAATACCAGCAATAACATTATGCCCGGCTGTCCTGTCACACAGTCCCTGTTTAGCCCAGCCCCTCCCCCCCCAATCAGGGGCATACCCCATCCACCTGCCACGTTGGGGCAGGCCTGCTCAGGTGGCCACACTTGCCCAGGGAGGTTCCACCCCAGCTCCTCCCGTGGAATCTTTGGAGGCATAATTGCTGACCCAGGATGTGTTGGTGCTGAGTTTATCATGACGCTAAGTGCCAGCATTCTTCCTTCAACTCAAGAGCCAAAACTAATATAAACACCCAACTCCCCATTTGTTAGCCTAATGCCATCAGCAATCTGATGAGGCCTGACCCCATCTGAGTCTGATTTATGGCCTTACTAACAGATGCTACGGCTGAGAACAGAGCCAGGCATCTGGTGGAGGGGGGAGATGGTTAAGAAAATGGCAGCCTCCCCTCACCTTCGGGGGGACCCCACAGTCTTCTTTCCCATCTACCTGGCAAGGTCCCCAACTTCTTCATCTCTGAAGAGCAGAGGCTATCTATTTAGGGCAGAAAAAGACTGACGCATCTCCTCTTTTCTCGCCTAAGCCTGCTGACCTGGGGAGAAAAAAAAAAGCAATCGCAAAGCATGGGTCAGGGGCATAAGGAGGAGGTAGGTGAGGTCTCACTACTCCCTTCTCCATGATTACGAGGAGTCCTGGGTCCTCTCTTAGCGAGAATTTCATGGTAGGATTGCGGGCAGCGCTCCCACCAAGTCGGAAGGTATAGATGTAATTTTTTTTCTTTACAGTAAGATTTTTCCCCCACATACATGGAGAAATGCACACATAAGTATAGAGCTCAGTGAATTTTCATAGTGTGAATATACTTGTGGACAGCTGTAATTACACAAGTCACCACTAGGTTAATATTAACATTGGTTTTAAGGATCTGTTTAAGAGTTTGCCCAAGGCTTTTCCCTTCCTATATGGAGAAAATCTCACCTGGTTCATTTAAGTCTTATTTTGCAGGTATTTACCTGATAGAGAAGGTTTTCAGCCTAAGGAACCAGAGCTGGTCATAGCCTGGGGCCATCTACAATTTGGACCGTCTGACACCCAGGTTAGCAATTCTGCCCCTTCTCTTCCTCCCTTTCAGCCCCATCACACACACTGTTTGATGCCAGAGTTTGCTTTTAACTGAGGATCTAGATCAACCCAGGTTCAAATCTCTTCTCTGCCACTCTTAAAAGTGCTCTCTGCCCATTTCAAAGCTCAGGAAGTGGAGTCTAGTGGTTACATCTACACAACTTAGCTTTGGCAGGGCTGGGCACCAGGCAAGGTGACCACATGAGCAATGTAGGTCACTTGTTATAGGGTCCACTCTGAAGTTTGGGTGAAAGCTTGTAGGGAGCGGTCTCAGAATACACCAGCTGGGGAGCAAGGGGGTGGGGCTGGCAAGGAGGCACAGGTCTTCGTATCAAGCCAAGCCCACAGGGTGCAACTGGCTTGGTTCTACAGGCCAGCTCTGGAGACTGGGCAAGTCATCTCAAGTCGGCCTCATGGTGGTGAGGAGTTAGACTATTTATACTCCTGCACCCATCAGTCATCTGTTAAGGCACTCCTGGAACCTCCCACCCCGTGCACCCCAAGCCATCTGACACCCATCCTCGAGCCAGAAGATGCAGGGAAGTGCTAGCTGTTAGAAGTAGAGCTGCTTCAGGAACCAATGGGTCTGAACGTGGCACACACACACCAGGGGACTGAGACCACACTGAGCACCTGCCTCGTGCACACTAGGGCATGCTACAAGGACTGAAGAGATTTTCAAGATGCTAGATAATCCCTGCTATATAGCTCATTAAGAGGCCACTGTGGGATGGAGATTCCAGATCCCTGTGTCCTCACCAGCCTTTTGAGCCATAGGTTACTTGCACCCCCTTACCTGTGACTTTCATTGTAGAGAGCGCCACAGCTAATGAACGATGTTCCAATGAAAATTGAGCACCAAACTTACATTTTAAAAATCAGCATTGTTGGCAGAGATAATAGATGTTGAGTTTATGGTCACTTCTATGCCTCTCAGGTTCTCAGAGCAGCAAGAGAACAGTAATAGCTGCAGTAGGTGTGGTGTTAAGATCAGGAAGGACACCATCTCCTTATGACCAAGTCAGGCAAGAGAGTCACAGTAAGAGTTGAAAAAGGTTCCAAAGAGGCAGTGGCCACCCTAGAGCAGAGGTAGGAAGGATCCTACAGCATTCTAGATACAGAAGCTGTCCATCCTCATTATAGTTGAGCAAAGACCAAGAAATAGGCTGACCGCAGGATAGAACTGCGTGTGATCTGGCTTGCCTCCAAAGATCCATTCTTTCTACTATTCCTCACCCTGTTCTATGCTCTGAGAGGATCACCCATTTGTATTTGCCTGGAGGAGAAAGGAAAAGACATCCACTGCTTCTCTTACTAGAACCTGCAGGCACCACTCATTGGTTGTACGAGGAGAGAGGTTGGAGTATTTAGTCCCTTTCCTCTAGGTCCGTCTTTTAAGACTTCAAGCTCACCATCAGTCCCCAGGGGCATTGATTATTTCCCCTTTCTTCTGGGCTCTGAGAGGAAGGGGAGAGGAGAATGAGGTCCTCTGATGCTGACAGAGGGAAGATCATCTATTATCGGTTCCCTCAACCCTGCCCATGCCAAAGAAGTAGTCATCTAATATGGATCACATCTCTAGTCAGGGCTCCAAGAGAGATAAAAGGCTATTTGGTTGTCAAGATTCAATGCCTATAGTGTACAGGCTGGTAAGAAGGGTGCAATATGAAGTCTCCTACAACAACTAGGTCAGCCTTCCTGACTGAGCAGCCAACATCACTGGATGAAGAAACTATGACTCGAAGGGGTGTTCTTCCAGATGAACCAGGAGGAGAGCTTTGGTACACAGGAACATGGTTCAGAAATTGGAGATCCCCAAGCACAGAAAGACCATTCCACCCGTCAAAGGAGTACAGATGTCCCTTCAAGAAGGAACTTCTCTTTAGGAGGAGGTGGTGTAAAGGAAGAGTCGGCCCTCTGGTAAGGAGCTCCTGTCCATGCCTCTTTGCGATCAGTAGGACCAATTTGCCCTCGCAGTGATCTGGTCTCTGGGCAGAAGACCAGAGCAGCATTTTACTTATAGAGGAGTCTACTCCTGGATGCACCTAAGATCACTTCTGGACTCCATAGGAGGAGAGTCCCTTTTGAGGTTCTGCAGAAGAGCCTGACCGCACTTCTGAAGCCAAGGATAACCCTAGCAAGGCTCCACTACTGGAAACTTGGTTCTGTGATCTCAGGAATATCCAAGAGAGCTTGCCCCACTGCATTTATGCAGGCATGACCAGAATCTGAGGTCCTCCTATCTCTATAGAGATTAGCTTGCTTCTGTTCCTTCTTTCTCTCCCATTAAAACACAAATCAAAGCCTATCATTCTTCGAGTGAAGTCTACCTACCCACTTCTGCAAAAGAAAAAAAAAAATCTACCAGCTCTATAAGAATTCCTGAGACTGTGGAATTCCAGATGGTGCTGACCATTCAATGTTTTTCACTGTCAACTAAATCCTACCTCCTAAGAAACATCCACGAAGTTGAAGAGGAACACGTGAAGAGGAACACGTGAAGAGGAACACGTGAAGAGGAACACGTGAAGAGGAACACGTGAAGAGGAACACGTGAAGAGGAACACGTGAAGAGGAACACGTGAAGAGGAACACGTGAAGAGGAACAACTTGAGTCAGAGGCCAGATTCTCAACACCAAATCCTTAAAAGATACTTAGCCAAGTGATTGCAGGAGAAGTGCCATGTTCCTGCTCTTCATTCTCACTCACCTGCAATGGTGCATCTTGTTCCGCCTTCCAACGAGGTGAGCAAAAGGCTTCTTGACCAACTATCATACCATGGAATCAACTTGCTGAATTACCAAGCGATTGAGGATTCCAATCTAGCTTCATGCTCACTGACCGGCTCCACCCACCTCACCTGACCCGTGCAGTCTCTGCTACCCACATAATGCTTTGCTAGAACTAGATAGACTGCCCAAGATCTCGTAGGCCACTTCAAGTTGCATGGAAGAGCCATTTCCCTTATCCACCCCTGGCAAGACTTCATGGCCAAGTTGACCATGATCTAGAGAAGGGATTCAGGACATACCTCCTTGACAACTCTAGTCTGCAGTAAGTACCAACCAGAATTTTGACTCTGGAAGTGGACTATGGGGTCCTGTGGGATTTCTGCCATTTATGAACTCTAGAATCTCAATGGAGTGAGGCCATTATCCCCAGAGGAGAAGTTTCATAGTGGATGGATTTTAGCACCAGCAGTACTCCAAAGACACAGGGAAAGGGAAATGGCCAATACAACCATGGAGGTGTACAGAAGAGAGCTAAGAGCAGTCCTGGGACAGCTCTCCTGAGAAAGGCTGGCTTGCAAAGCTGACCATTTGCAAGGAGTACAGGTGTCCCTTCAAGAAACTTCTCTTTAGGAGGAGGTGGTGTAAAGGAAGAGTCCTGCCACCTGGGAGCCAGGATTCTGGGAGTGCCTACCATTCCATCATTAGGCACAGTGAACCATTCTCAACTGTGCCAATAGTGTGGTGTATATTCAACACATGTTTTTCTGGGAGTCTGGAACTCAGGCACATGTGAAGCAGAGGGTGACTATGTGACCAGCCCCCAGTGAAAACCCTGAGCCCCAAGTATTTAATGAGTTTTCTTGGTAGAGCTCACTTCACGTGTCCTCAACTTATTGGAGAGGATGAAGCACTTCCTGTGGGACTCCACGAGAAGGGGATTTTTGGAGGCTTGCACCGAATTTCCTCCAGACTGTGCCCCACATGCCCTTGCTCTTTACTAATTATCACTGTGAAAGGCTGCAAAGCAGAAGTAGCCATGAGTACCATCATAGGCAGAGTCCTGTGAGTATCCTAGTGCATCTTTGAAACTGGGTGTGGTCTTGGGGACTTCCAGCCCAGAAGGTGTATCTGACCACAGGAGTTTAGATAAGTGCACAGAATTGAAGGCACGAGTGTCCATTTCCTAAGTGCAGGGAGATCTGCTACCCACCCCCTTTATGGGTAAACACATTTCCCCCTATTCCCTCGTAAGAGATGCTCTCTCCACCATCTCCATCTTTGCAAGCATTAGATTTTACAACAGGTCTAAAGTTTTTCCTTAAATGAAAGCATGCATTTCTGAGTTCTAATGCTGTTCATTTGCATTCTCAAAATAAGAGATTTTCACTTCTTTTCTTATGCTCTTACTACCACAAATATGCCAGAAGTTTACAACTTTTCCCTCTTTTGTTTTGCAATGTATGAAAGGTGAAGTGCTTAGGCTGTGAAGGCTTCTGCTTCCAAAAAGAAGTTCTTAGTTTTGATAAAAATAGACTTTGTTGTTTGAGGTTCTTTTAGAAGTTTTAGGACTTTGTAGTTCTATGAACCAGTCTGAATTTTTGTATGTATTGTGATGTACAAATCAAGGTCTTCCGTTTACAGAAGGGTATTCTGTTGTCCCAGTAACATTTGTTGAAAAAACTAGCTTTTCTCCATTGAATTGCCTTTGCAACTTTGTTTTAAAATATTGGATTCACCTGTAACAGGTGGGTCTATTTCTGGATTGTTCCATCTACTTTTCTTGATGCCTCTACTAGACTCTTGATTATAGTAGATTTATAATTAGGTACCCAAGCATTTAGGAGAGTTCCGGCCTCTTGAGAAACAAATCCTTTGTTATGGAAGGAAGGGCTTTCTTTCTACCTGGTAAATATTCCTTGCTCTAAATCTTTTGATATGGATATTGCCACTCTAGAATAAGCTGGGGAAGTTAGAGGGGAAATATGGTAAACCCTACACGGGGGCTCTGTGCTCTTGCTGTCAGGTGTCTGAGAAGTATAAACTGTAAAGTTTTAGTCGGTCCAGGTGGGAGAGTAAACCTGGTCCCTGTTACTCCCAGGGACCAGAAGTCCAAACTCGTTTCCTACAGGAATATTTTTTAAAGCCTTCATAGAGGTAGCCCTTGGTCATTAGTATTTCTAGTTTGTTATCAACAGTCACCATACTGTTCATTAGATCTTCGGAATTTAGTCCTCTGGAATAACTGAAACTTTGACTCTTTGACCAACATCTTACCAATGTTAACTTTCTACTACCTTCTGTGTTATGTAATTGCTTAGATGAGGAGAGAAAGAGCAGGGATTTTGTGGATATTTATCAGCTTTGTCTTAGACACCTAGATTGCCAAGAATGAAATCAAGAACCCTTAAGGAGTTATTCAAGCCTTAGAGGCATTTCAAGTCTATAGCCTAATGTAGTCTTCAGAATAACAATAACTTGAAGTTCGAAACCAAACTGCTGACAATTCCAGATTCCGCAGTTGCAACCCCAGTTACCAATATCCCCCCAAATCCAGCTTTCATGTTGCTATTTCCACAAGTTCTTGGGGGTAGGGGGTTGGGGAAAGAACCTAGAGTTCAAATAAGGTCCTGATGACACCCAGCTTACAACCTCAGACTCCCAAATCCCTTGGCCTAGAGGATCCTATGACCAGAGTAGACCAGAGTAAACCCTATCAGCTGTGGCTCACAAATGTTGAAAGAGGAAAAAGCGATTTAAGCAGGGCTGTTAGTAAAAAGGTTGGTTGTCATTTTATCCTATTAAAAATTGGTTATTAGAGGTTTCCTTCTGTAAACTTTAGATCTGAATGAAATAAGGTCAGCGGCTTTATCTATGAAGTCAACAAATAGAGTTGCTATAATATTACCTTAACTCCCAACACTGGCCAGGAGTTACTGGTGGCTTTGCCTCAGGGTTATTCCAGGCTTTTCAGAGACTGCATATATTGAAATAGGTTCTTTAGGCTTCTATCCAGATCTTTGCTGGGTGATCATGAGCTCTGATAAGAGCAATACCTTTTCCTCCACGGAAATAGTTATGTGGAAAGAGGGTCAAGCAAGGGCCTTACAAGAAACCATGTCAACATCAGCCAGAAGTTGCTACTGCTTTCAGGATTCTTTGAGCCAGTCTAGAATTTCAGTAAAATTAA